CCCTAATGTGTGTCTCTCCCACATACCACCTACTTCTAGACTAAATCTAAACCAGAACTTTCAACAAAGCATTGTCTGTCATCACGCTACTGCCATTTTACTCAGGGTACAAAGTTGACTGATAACAGTTGTGTTTTCAGTTCCCATGACAAAATCCCAGGGTTACAAAAAGGACTGTCTATATCTAGAATAATACAATAATCTTGTATTATTCTGTATAGAATAATACAATAATATAGAAGTAATCCTTACTTCTATATTATTCATTTCCTAATTATATAAGCAGTCCTACCAAAATCATTGCAAACTGAGCATCTTTCTTCTATACCTAAGAATAGCTCATCAGGACCAAAGGTGGCCAGGTCAATTTTAGGAAGCCTAGATTTGCAGTGATTTACTAATCAGACTGGAGTCACAGAGAAGAGCAGCCCAACTACCAAAGAAAATCATGAACCAATGAACTGAGTTAAAGTTTGAGAGCAATAGATTCCTCTTAATTATGAATATTGAATGGATTCAGCGATTAAATTAAATTACACTTTCTGTGGTCTTCCTGCTTGTTTCAGCAGTAATTTTCTTTCCTCCACCTTACTCCTTTTTTTTCCCCTTTCTTTTTCCATTGTCCTTAAGATGCTTCTCATGTATCCCCAAGCAAGACTATGGGAACACTCTTAACTTCACACATTTCCTATTTATCCCTCTAAGTGAATAAAAAAATGTCATTGCCTACCCCTGCCACAAGAAGGATATGGAGAATTAAACGTACTCCACCTCTTTCCCAGACACTGTGGAACAACTTGCCCCAAGGGGCGTGTTGTGCCTCGCCACTGCCATAATGTGAACAAAAATGCATCTGGCAGCATGCAGAGAGCAAATGCACGAGGATTCCCCATCACCACATGAGCACAAACCACGACCTCTTCATTAGAAAGCAAGAAGATGCAACAACTCTCCTTGAATATAGACGAAAACCACTGCTGCACTCTAGAAACTTGTAAGGTGAATTGCCCATCTAATTTACTAACCCACTTCAATGTCAAAAGAGTGGGAGATTTCCCAGATTACAGTTTTAACTCTAAAAGAAACAGACTTTTTTTTCTTTTCTTTTCTTTTTTAAATTGAATTTAAACCAAAACCAGCAACTCAGTGCATTCAGTGTTCTTCCTGGCTTGAAAAAAGTGCTTTGGGAAACAGCTTGGCAGAAGATCTGTTTGCAGTCTCCTGGAAAGACCAGTCCAAGTGGGATCAATTTTACATTCACCACTGCTCTGAACATTTAGACATGGGCGTGTAAAAATAGGATACAAAGCTAACTTTCCACAGCTTCACTATCTTTCCACTTCCCTCAATGATGACCAAGTAAAACGCCATTTTTCAGTTAGTCTCAAAATTATAACCTAACAATGAGTCTATATACATTATTAACTTCAGGTAAACAAGGCATCACTGAGATCTGTTTGCTTCAGTTTTATGACGTACTGATTACAATGGCCAACGTTAAAAGATATAGGCAATTTTCTTTTCTTTTGCTATCAACCATACTCTCAAAGGGGAGAAAATAGTGACCAGAAATAAAAAATGCATGCAGTGAAGATACAAATCAAATTCAGAACACATATGACAAATGTTTTCAAGATGTGGATGCACACAACTGCCGGTATTTTCTCATGTAAAACTTTAATCGCAGAAAAACAACCAGAAGGAATAAGTTAGGATTCCTTTTCAATAATGGAACAATACATGAAAGAAATAGCTGGCTTTTGCAACAAGAAATATTCTCTATAATGTGAAGATCAGGCTCTTCTTTCCAAATTCAGTTATTTTATAGAAAAACAGAATACATTTTTTACTAGTTCCAGGAAATATTTTAGATATCCTACCTTACTCCAAGCTATTACCATGAATTGCCTCAAGGCATTTCTTTTCCTTCTGACTATGCCCTGTAACTCTCTTCAAATATGCAGGAACTGAATTGCTGTAAAACTGCATTACCCAGTCTCTAGTATGAAACCCCTGAGGAAAATTGTGATAGCTTTACAGGGACTAAGGCCTCACATTTCAATTCTGAAAGGTACTTAAAAAAAAAAACCTACAGAAAACTACACCCAATTACTCACAGAACTGTAATAATCATTATAAAAACATCACAACTTACCAAAAATTAGCACACCCATACGTAGCCCACTGCATGGCCTACTGGACTGATAAGTCCTTTTTTTTTTTGGAATGTACATCACTGTCTCCAGGGTGTTCTCTAAAACTCCTATTCTGTACAGACACATAACACACAAGAGGAAGGGCAGGTTGGTTTTGATTACCTGACAGGGGATGCAAACTGCCCGAACAGCCATGTGGATCCTCCACTGCTCCGCTGAGCCACGCTGAACTCTGCTCTTGGCAAGAGCCCTGAAGTGCTACGTTGAATATGTAACTCTGCATCTCAACTGCTACCATTTCCCTGGCACTTTTTTTTCCTCACATTTCTCTTGCTATTTACTTTTATCTCCAGCAGGAAGTGTAAATTACATGAGCATAGAGAAGCTCTCTCACACACACACCCAAAACCAAACACACAAACAAAACCTCACCACACGCGTAACCCCTCAACTCCACAGGCTGCCTTGAGCATGGATATATTTTCTCTTTGGGTCTCTGGGCTAACTGATCAGAGATATTGAGCTTTCGCCCCTTTCGCTGAACAGAGGCCTTCTGATCATCACAGCCTAATGCCTGTCTGCTCACGGCGATTTCAGCCTTTAGGTGCAACTGCCGTCACTCAAGTTGTGTCTTTACCGTTAAGTTTTGTATGCTTTAAATTAGAAGACTACTATGATTACATATACAAAAGCAATTTCTGACTTATAATAACCCAATTAATCCAATTTGTATAGGCAGTGTAAGTGCCGAATTCAGACCTTTTCACAAATGTTAACGAGCCTGCAACTCAAGATGTGTGCTTTACTCACACAAGGGAAAGGATACAGCCACGGAGCTGATATTCTACTAAACACGAAACAGGGAATCATGTACCCAGAAATGAGTGCAACATCAGCCACAAAACCTAGAAATGGACAGGTCAAGATCTTCACAGACAGGTCAAGATCTTCACAGCTTATGCTCTCTCGAACTATTGCTGTCAAGTTAATAAGAAAACTGAAGTCTAGGACTGCTAGCCTGATGGGTTTTTAGTGAACACATCTTGGAGATATGTTAAGTATTAACTTAAATATAGCCTTGTATAGCACATATAAAGAGCGTCATAAATAACAAAAAAATTATTTCCACTTAAAACTAAATAGGGGGACACAAAGAGACCAGGGGGACCAGGAATAGAATAACTCAAAGAAGAGGAAATTGTGGGACCTTCCTTATTCAAAACCCAGCACGTAGAGAACGACCTGTGAGCAGACACGTTGCAGGCAGTGGCCCAGTCCCAAGGCACTGAAGTGCAGCACTTGCTAAACCGAGCAATCCTATTCAGTGTGAGCCAAAGTAGACGACCGCAGAAGAAGGCATGATCTTTTTTTAATGATTTTGTGCAACTGCAGATGCTATTACAAACATGGCCAGGCTTTAATCAGATTTTCTTTTTTTCCCCAGTAGGAATTTAGATATCTTGTGTATCTCCACAGGCTCCGGATAGCCTCGGTTGGGGCTTTGATCAGGGCCCATGCCAGGGGGCTCCAGCCCCCTTGCAGCCGCGGGGCTGCCTCCGGCCTGCACCGCTGGAGCCACGGGGGAGCCCCCGCCCAGGGGATGCTTCCAGGTGCTGCCGCTCGTACTCCTTCCTCGAAGCCCGGATCGCAACCCCCGGGGGCGGCCATTTTCGGAACAAATCCTGCC